GTCCATGGCTCTTTTAACTGACCGGTGACAATGCGACTGGTGGTCCGGGCGGGGTTTTTGAATTTTTAATAGAAGACCAGGACAATGGCCAATGTAATAATTGAAGTGTCAGGCGTGACAGGGGGTGTTTGGAGGGAATTGGTATTACGAAACAAAGGGTCAGCATGTAATGAGCTTTCCTTTATATACTTTGCGAGGAATAAATTATACGGACGATTGGATAAAATAGGGCCGGCACCGTGAGTTAAATTGATATATCACTCTGTACGACTGGGTGGTGAGCTGAGGGTGAAAATTGAAAATTGATTTATTTCCTAAAAAGCCGTGGCTCGCCGGTTGAAGAATTCTCGGTAAAGGATACTCGATGGTCGAGGAATATTCGATACCGGGACTAAGGGTGCTTCTTGCGGGTAAGGGTTGCGAGGAAAGAACCCAAACGAGGGAAACCCCCGGGAAAGTTGATATTTTCGAAAATAATACCGCGGCAGATTGCGAGAGCCATTTAATTGCGAAGGAGCACTCGCGATTTAATGATACTTTCGGAATATGGGGGGGAGCGGGGATGGCTGAGTTATAATGCTAGCGAGGGTCGAGGGCAGGTTCGAAGATGCCAGAGGAATATTAGAGAGAAATGATGAAACGCGAGAAGGGTGCAGTGAAAAATTTCGATGACCGCCATTCGTATAACGAGTCAGAGAAAAGAATTGAGAATACTCGTTGATTTTTGGAGAAAGCAACGTAGATTGTTGGGACAGTACGGATTATTCTTGCTATTCCATAAGTCCATCGTCCCTTAAAAAGCATCCCTCAAAATCCTGCCCCCCCCCCTCCCCACCCAACCCATCCGGGCAACGAGAGACACAAGACCACCATCAGGTGAATAGGACTCGTATTCTGGCATAATTGCAACGAAATACACGGGCTGTATAATAAGGGACGAAGCTATAGAGACCAAGGGGATGCTTTCGAATAGACAGACACCGTGGCAGGAGACGCGGCGTCGTGACGGCACACCGAGGGTTTGTTATACAAATAATTATGTTAATTGGTGGAGCATTCTGTTTCCATTAGTCGACCGTGCCTGCCGTCGCCGCGAAGGTAACTTTAGGGTGAGTCTTGTTTTACCAAAGATTTGCCAAAGGGAGGCGAAGAGGGTCGGGGAGTTTTCAAGAAACCCAAACCCGCTTAATTCAAGCCCCCGCAGCATCCTGTGTTCTCCACGCGGTACCACCTGGTCCTCTGGATTTATTAATTTTCTCCCTGATCCGCATCCACGTCCTTGGCCTCGCAGCATTATCGTCCCTCGTGGATCCATGCGATTCCACCGTCTTTATGTCCATAATTCTATTCATCCGTCTCAGCAGCATCATCGTCGAGGTCCAGGATGCTGCCAGTCAGGATGTAGATGGGGATGCGCGGTGGTCGTGTCGCGGTCATTTAAACGACACAGAGTACATCCCAGCCTCGTTAAATAGCTGGAGCTTGACGGTTACGGAAGTGCCCTCTTTTCACGGTGTTCCATCCTGGAGTCAGGATGCTGCGAGGAAAAGGATCATCTACATATGAGAGTTAAAGCTTTATGACTTTACCCACTTTGCATTAAAAGCGTTTCCGCACGGTTAATGGACGACTTTCCTGCTAACGAACTGCTCCGTGGAATTATTGATGCTTTCGAGTCACGATGGGAGATTTTTCTCTTTGGATTCCCTCCTGTACTTTATCTTTCTTCGTCTCAATCGCCTTTATCCCTCCAGAGTTATGTCGGCCGATGGACGTCCTTGATCGACAAACAAAAAACCTATTATCCCATTATGCAATTCAACTCGCAGCCCCTCTTCTCTCTCTCTCTCTCTCTCTCTCTCTCTCTCTCTCTCTCCCCCCCCTCTCTCTCT